GCTTGCAGCCCTTCTTGCATATTTCAATGCCGACAAATGGTAGCTTACCGTTAGATGCGATCTCCATGGTTTCTTTTAAGGTTTCTTTTAAAAAAGCTTTTCTTATTTTCTTCATAAATTATTTGTCGAGTGCGCATGCGGTGGCTTTCCGAAAAGCGAGGTGTGAAGATGCTAATAACTTCAGTAAACGTTTGACAAAGTACTCTAAAATGTCTAGATTGCCGACTTAGTAATGTGTAGAACGAAAAGCGACTTCCAGTTCAAAAGTCGCGATAATCGTTTTCTCATTGAGGAAAGTAATAGCTATGAAGACCTTCTCGAGGTAAACAAGAACCGTTACCCGAATGTAAGGGGCTGTACTGAGTTTGCGAAGTGTAAAACGGTTTTGCAGCTATCATGGTATCAAGAAGAGAATGTCAGTTGCGGATGGAGCAGTCGTTATCGCAGTACAAGGCGCCATATCGGAGGAAAGACTATGTTCCAAATCGATCATTTAAAACCTTTGTATTGAAATTTTTTGATGTTATAGTAGGACCTAAATAGCCATTTCATTCCGTGATTTGTGATAGTAAACCCATAACCGTAATTTCATTTCCTTGCCATTATAGATTTCGTGGTATTGAAGGCTTTTACAAAGAATTCATCGAGGATATTTTCTAAGGCAGCCATCTTGTTCATTATTCCCGCCAAAACATTTTCCCGGCTCTGGTAAAATACGGAAGTGACAAAAACACAGAAACGAAAAACGAAAATCGAAGTTCCAATTTCGTTTTTCAATATCTTACAAAAACGAAAGACGAAAAACGGAAATGCTGTCCAAAGTTGTGGGAAAGCGGAAAACGAAAATAGAAGTTCGAATTACATTTTCATGGTGGAAGGAAAACGGAAAGCGAAAATGGAATTTGGAATTCCGTTTTCCCATGTCGTAGGGAAACGGTTGGAACTAAGGTACACGTGTTATAAAGTACAAGGAAAGCCATATTTTTGCAAAATTTGTCCCTGTGCTAACGACATTGTGTATGTTAGGTTTAAAGATTTTAGAAACTTTCTGTACGTATTTATGAGCGTTGTTTAAGTTTTCATGGGTAAAGGTACCAGTCGCCTGCTGAGTATTGTATCCTCACGATAAGCTCCTACTTCTTTTAAAGTTACAGACATCAGCAGACAAAATATGGTTAATTAATTTCTATATATCCGAGTAAAAAGCAAACAAAGCATTTCCGCACATACCTTTGAGTCGAATAGCGCTAAAATTCATGAGGAATCCTTTTCCTTGATTTTTGCTGTCCGAGTGGAAAGTTATAACAACTTTGGCTCCGGTGACCACCACTGGCCAATGGCGCGTACCAGTCGTACCACATAACGTAGCAAACTCTTGATTGATCTCGTTAGTAATTTTCAGAATGTCAAACCTACGAATGAATACGAACCAGTGTTCATACATGTCACGTAACAAACATTTAGTGCGCAATTGCGAAATTCACCTGCTACCTACCAAAGCATTTAATTGAAACGAGTTGCGTTATCAGAGTCTGCTTCGCAGCTGTCGTTTGGGGTTGTCACGCGTTAAAGAAGATATAAATATGTACATAAAATGCTTACTTTCTAGAAACGACACAGCTACAGTAGGTGTAAAATGTGAATTTTTGATGATTGGGCCGATATTAAGCCCCTGTGTGACAAAAAATGTCTCAAAACGTGTTTGCGTGTTCTCAAATGTAAGCTGTAAGTCACAGTTCGGGGGGTTGATTTAGACTGAAGCGGGAGGGTCAGATGTTGCAGTAGCGAACTGACGGCAAAGTGTACAGATGCCAATAGTTTTCACTGTTTCATTAAAAGTCTTTTTTCTGTGTCAACAAAAGTAAATGAATTACGTGTGGTTGTAAATCGTCCACTTGGAAGCAATTGAGGTGATAGATGATCCGCAGGTAAATAGGTCCACAACGTCTTAAACTATATTACTGCGTAGAAATCGATATTGTTTTCACGAAGTTAAAGTTATTTCCACGTTATATCTTTATTGATTCTAGGAGTATGTTGAAAAACTTGTGAAAATATGATTCTATGTCCATATGTCCATATGCATGGTCGTATGTCAAAATTTGTCAAAGTAAAATGCAACAAAACATAAAAATTTGGTCCATGATATCCACGAGATCTGTGTTCGAGCCTAGCGGCCCATCAGACCATCGCTTCTCTCCGCTTTTCGTAGGACGAAGCGGTCAGTAGTATTTATATTCCCCCACCTGGATGGGATGTATGTCCATCTCAGGGTT